GGCAGTGGGGCGGTGAGCGGCGCGCGCGGGCCCGCGCTAGAGCGGCCTTTAAGCGCGCGTGCGGTACCGCGCTTGGCATCGCGCGTTAAGGTGCGCGTAGGGCGGGCTGTGCGCGGCCCCGAAACCCTGCGCTGAATGCCCCCACCGGGCTGCAGCGGGACCGGGAGCGCCGCGTGTGTCAGGCGTGCGTTACGCGCGGCAGGGTGGGCTGAGGAGGCGGATGGTGCTGCCGCAGGGGCTGGGCATGCAGTCGGTAGCACATTGTGCATGTAACGGGCTGCATTTGGGGCCAGGCGTGCGTTAAATAGAACACAGAGTGCACTTAACGCGCTGCGTTTGCAGCGAGGCATTTAACAGTTAATTAAACACATCGTTCATTAAATGCCCATATAGCATGCTGCATTTGGTCATGCATTAAAAATGCATTAGGGCGCTAAATCTGCGTATAACGTGCTGCGCTTGGGGCCAAGTGCATTAACTGTGTGCATTAAATGTGCATGTAAGGTGCTGCAGTTGAGGTTGCATATTGCATTAAACAGTGCATTGAATGGGCTCACAGCATGTTGTTGGGTTTGGGCATGTGTTAAAAAGTGCATTAAATGCACATTAAGCATCTTGCATTCCTGGCTGATCGCATCCTCTGTGATTCGGGAGCAAAACTCAAGCGATGCAGGATGGGCCTTTGCCCTGCTTGGGAGGTGCAGAACTGAACCTGCCTTTGAAATCTGGGTTAGGTGAGGCAGAGAAGCAGGGAACTGCAGAGTGAATGGAAGTGGATTTCTGCCTCCAGCACTGTGGTTTGGGTCCCTGCCAGAGGGGTTTTACAGCCCACCGTGGGTAAGCACAGCCTTGCAGGGGGCCATGGGGCAGCCAAGCCCGTAGTTCAGGCATGAGCAGAGAAAGGGTGAGCCAACATTACCCTGGTTTCGGTCATCTCCCATGGCAGTCCGCCGTGGGATGATGGTGGGGTATTTTGCAAGATTTCAACCCCCTGAGCAATGCATGGGGTGGGCAAGGGTCACCAAGCATTAAAGCCACAGGGTTGCAGCTCAGTGTATCCCCACTGCTGCACAACCAGTATTGGGGGGGTCCTCGAACCCATTGGGGTGGCCTCACGTGTTTGAATTGCAGGAGTCTCTGCCTGGCCTGTTGTGCAGTTCTTGGGGTCCCAAGCAGCAGGGCAAGAAACCAGAAAGAAAATCAGTAAATGGAGCATGGAAACACACTGAACACAGGCACCCTGCAAGGGAGGGCAGCGGGAAAATGATACCAAAACCCACTTTGGGGCACAGCCAGCAGCTTGGCTACAGCACTGTCTGGGCAGGATTAAGATATTTCCAGAGCTGCTCTGCATTCCTGCTTTTCTGTGCACTTTGTGCTGTGCTGGTGCCTGTGCCACCCCTGCTTCACCACGGGACCTCCCAGGAGGTCCCACCTGAGTATTGTCTTGGGGTGAATCATTCTCGCTCATCACTTTGTCTTCTAAGCCTTACTAAACTACTGAAGAAACCAGGCTGGCCTGTGTCCAAGTATTTGTTCTCCAGCTGCAGGATCAGACACTGCCAGAATTTCTTATCCCACAGCAGGAGAACAGACTTGGGATCATACCTTAAATCTGGCTGCATGGTACCCCATCACCCCAGCAGCCAGGTCCATTCCTGCATCTCAGTCCTTCACACTCTCTGAACTCCTCACCTTTTTTCCCACTTCCTTAACCTTTCTCAACTCATCCATAGCCTGGGGAGACCTGGAGGATCTGGTGGGCTGCCTGTTGCTGTTCATGCTGGATTGTGGTGGGGGAAGGTAGCCCCTCTTTAGGCCAGGATGTCTGGGGCTTGCACATGCACTGAGTTGCAAACAGGACTCAGCAGGGAAGCTATGAAGCTCCTGCAGCCCCTGCATGGGGGGCCCTAGACAAGGAAGGAGTTTTGGGGCACTTTCACCTAGTAACTGGATCAGATTACTGGGGTGGCGTGAACTCAGATCTTCTGCTTTACTGCAGGCCCAACAGGGGTTGTGTGAGATGCTGCCAAGTGCTGGTATCTATTACTTCCCATGGGAGATCAACAGCTCAGTCCCAGAGGGGGAGGCACTGAGGACGTTTGGCAGGTGAGAAGGGTTCCTCACTCTCCTCAAAGGCCAGGCCTTTCCTTTGCTGGCTCATGCCCCTCCCTTTTTTTGTAATTGTATCTCTGCACTGCTGATCTTCCCAAATTGATCATTCCCAGGTTATGCTCCTACGACCTGGTCCGGTCTGAAGCTGTTCTCACCGCTCAGCACAGCTCAGCTCAGTACCGGGTCTGTGTTGACACCAAGCTTGTGGAGCCATTCCAAGCCCAGCTGGGATCTTGCTACATCGTCCTGGGAGAGGCTGAACATAGGGAAGGTAAATGCTCCAGAAGCCAGTGCCCATTGCTGCTCTTCATGGTTCATCAGCTCCTTCGTGGCTCCCTGGGTGCGTGGTGAGGTACTGTCACTGAGGTTAGTGCTGGCCATAGCAGACTCGACTCCTGAAGCTGCCTCTGCTCACATGAGCATGTGATTCAGGGCAGGAGCAGCCTGTCTCTCCCCAGTGGCCATGAGAACAGCCACCCTTATCTTGGTGAAAATCTGGTGCTCTGGCACAGACACATTAGAGACAAGAAGCACCTCAGCAGCATCACTGAGCTTGTGAAACCTGTGCTAAAGCCTTCTGGCATCATTGCCAGCCACCACGTTGTCTTTGCTACAAACATGGCTGATTACAGCAATACCTCATTGCGAGCTGGTTGGGTTGGTCTTTGCCATCCTTGAAAGATCTAATTATACCCCTGCCCCCAGACACAGAGCATGAGGAATGCAGGCAGGCTCTGTCACGCAGGGCCCCTGTTGTCCTTTCCTGGGGTGCCCTGAGCATTACTTCAGCTTCACAGTCCTTTGTATGGGGAGTTGATCTGGGCTGGGCTGTGAGGTTGTGAAGCAAATCCCAAGTGTTGTCTTGGCCACACCTGATAATGAGCATTCACATTCGTGCCATTGAAATCCTCAGTGGCATGTGGAAAGCCCTGCTGCATGTGGCATTTTGCTGCTGCAAAATTCCTATAGAAAGACATGTTATATTGGTCATTACAGCTTTGGAGTGAGTTGCAGGGGTGGAAGGGGAGCAGTCTGAGGTGGTGGTTGCGTCACCAAGGTTTGGCCAGTTTTGTTCAGATTCGTGTTGCCATTTGAATGCTGCTGATGAACTGTTGGTTATAGTCAGCATTCAGCCTCTTCTGAGCCCGGCACGTCACTGAATTCACCTGCTCCTGGGCCTGCTGCTCACATCAGTGGAGGCATGTGGCAAGTCCTGTCTCCTGCAAGTTCTGAGTTTATGGTTATTTGGCCAGCCAGAGCTATATGCTGCCTGAGGGAACCTCTCTGCTTCCAAACTAATCTGTCTGGTTTTCTTTCAAAAGAGAAAGAAAATTTGTATTTTCTTTTATATTTCTATACCTGTTTGTATTTCCAGGTGAGGACCTCGTAGTAAAGGCACGAATATTCACCTGTGTGGAAGGGATGAATGTGGCCTTGCTGGAACAAGCCATACAGGAGCAGAGGAAATACTTCAGCGAGAGGCAGGAGTGGATGGGAAGCAGCACGTCCTGACAGCAGCTCTGAGAACAGCCATACACTGGTCCTTGCACTGCCATTTGCAACAAATGTTAAAAGTAAATTTAGATGATGGGTTTTTGCTGTGGCAAATAGCAAAGTCAAGTCACTAAGCAGGGAAACACTTGAAGGCTGTGAGTCAATGTGTGACTGTGGGTTGTTTGTTCATGCCAGGTGTCATCACTGAAAATAGCTCTGGGAAGCAGGTTTGTTGTTTGTTTGAAGTGGTGATTAAGGAAAGGGTGGCTTGAGTTGTACTGGTCCTTCTGTAATGCAAGGCTTGGAGACATCAGGAAAAGGAGAAGTCTCTGAAACTCCAAATCAAATGAGTTGAACAGCTCACACCCACATGTGTGGCCAAAGCACAGCGTTACTGTTGGCAGATGGGAGGTAAAGGGCATTAGTGCAAAGTTCATTTGCCCTGAGTGGCTGTGGGTCCGTGAGTGCATGCATTTGGTTGCTGTGACTCAGCTGCCACACAGGAGCATTCTTGGCAAAACACTCACATATCTGGACTGACCAACAAAGAAACAAGAAGAACAAAGAATTACTATTTTCAGTAGCACCGGCTTCTTTGGATTTTCAGGAGCTGGTGTCCAAGGTGAGAGGTTGACTTGAGCTCTAAAATAAATATTTGCAGTGCCCTGAGAACCACCACTTGACTTCCTTCCTTGACACAACTAAGTTTAGGAGACCTTAAATCTCTTATTTTTTGAAGCATCTAAAGGTTTTGATCGATACTTTCTTTAATAAAGATGAAAAGAGAAGGCAGCCTGTCTCTTACTGATTAAAAACCTCTTTCTTGATAAGCGAATGCATTAGCCCCTGCAGAATCCCCATGGATTATTTTAGAAAATTTAGCAATATGGAATTTTCCTCCTACGTACTAAGTGTTTAAGGAAGTGCTTGGCTTTGAAAAAGTTGCAAGAGAAGGTGAAGTTACATCAGAGCCACTCTGGTTTAAGAACACAGTGCCAGACCCACCTAACAAATAAACCATCAACAAAAAGACAAAAAATCACTAACGTGAGATGAGAATAAAATGTTAGTGCAAAAGAGAGAAGACTTGCGTGTGCTATCCCCAGACCTGGAGTGTGCTGAGACTGTGGTTTGCAGGGGAATTCAGCCACCTGCAGCCTTTTCAGCTTTTGCTCAGATACTCTGGGGAGATGTTCAGAAAATAAGGACTGAAGGCATACAAATGCACAGCAGCAGATCAAAATGCAACAGGTATTGGCAAAGTCCCCTGTTACCAGCAGGATTGATTTAAGGGCCTGAGATGGCTCAGTAATTACAGTGCTTGCTATAATCTTTAATCATAGTTTAGTCTTATGTTTTTCTTCACACAGTTACAGAGATCCAAAAGTCCTGCCTCAGCACACTCTGTTCAGCTCAGATCCAAAAACATGATCTCAAGAGGCAAGATTTTAACCTGGTTTTGTAAGAGACAATGATGTCTGTCATGATGTGTTTATGTTTACACATCATCTCCTGTCCTCCTATTGTCCTCCCTGTGCTTAAATTTTATCCAAATGGCAAGGTTTGCCTGGAAATATCCAAGATGCCAAGATTAGGAATATCCAAAATACCAGCTTCCTACAAGTGTTACAAAAAAAACCCACAAACCCAACCAGCCAGGAAGAGGAAAGCAAATTTGGCAGTGACTCCAGATGGAGATGTGAGTGCAAACAACTTTCACAAGCCACCAGTGAACCTACACAGGAATTTTCCATGGCCATGTGGATCGCTTCTCAGCCACAGAGCAAGCATGCTTTTGTTCTTTCAAATTGGCAAAATCAGGATCAATTTAGAAAAAGATTTTTGAATTGGTATCTCAGCAGTGGGCTAAATCAGTCCTTTTTAGATCACCTAAATGTTGGTGTCTGTGCTGTGGACCCACACACCCAGTGGGCTGCTGTGTCCTGCAATGCCCACCCAGAGACATGGAGCCCTCAAGCCCTTCAGAAGACAGTCCCTGTGGCTGTACCTTTCCTGCTGCCATAATGCATAATACTTTTTTAATCTTCTGTCAGGTGTCAAGTCAATGTTTAATCCCTCCCCAAGGACATCTTCTGAAAGACTGACCAAGCAGCACAGCCCACGGTGGAAAGGTTCAAGGAACAATTGCACAAGACCCCAAAACATACAAACAAAAAAATACACACACACACACACTGCCCCCCCCCCCCCCCCC